GAAACAAGGTGCCACTCGACCTACTTTCCCTATCTAAATAAGGGTCGTCGGACGCACCCCTCCGAGAGGGTGCGTCCGGGTTATGAGTGGGTTATGAACAAACAAGCAAATATACAAGTGTAGTTAATATAAGCGTGTTGAGAAAAATAATTACCTTAGGGCCAATAATCAATGTTCGATTGATGACCAATTCAGTTTGTAGAAATTCATATTGAATAGGTGATAAAGAAAATAACTTTTATCTGATTTCTGCTGAGCTTTCGTATTTTTGTACCTCTAGGCCTAACCTAGTACTCTGCCGAAAATCCATTGTTTCTCTAATTCTGCTTGAAACGTTTCAGAAAATCAAGAGCGCTTCTTTTTATATCTGATCGTGAGCGTAGCAGCTAGTTTGCTCATTCTTCTTAGCTTTCTGGTGGGTCGCCTGCTTCTACAACGTCACAGAGCACGACGGGATGCCAAATTCCATGCCACCAATATATCAGACAACACCCTTCCCAATGGATTCACCGACGACATCAGCGAGGTTGATGCTGATATAGATTTAACTACTCCATTACCGTGCCCTGTCCCATCGGTAACCATACATTCAGCTCCTATCGGCAGCATAGCTGAGGTAAGTTCTTCACTATCAGCTATATTCAATACTATCAACTTTTCAACATTTTCTGAACACAACATCTTAGATTCGAAGAGATGTGTTTGAAATAATAAACTGAAAAATGATAATGCAATATGCCTATGTTTTCATATCACTTGTATTTGTACGAATACAAGGAAATAATTAACAATGGTAACCCTAAACTATCAAATCAAATCAAATTCATTCATCACCGAAGTCAATACAAATGTATAAAGATAAACTTATTGGACTAGTCATAACAGAACCTACAAGCTACAGCAAGAATAATTACCCAATTAATCTAGCATTAACCTACAGTAAGTAGGCATACTTGAAGACTGGCTATAAATCAAATAATATAAAAGAACAATTCGTTCAGGACAGTCTTCACTTACCTACATAGTGTGTTCATGGACTGACACCTAATCAAATCAAATCAAATTTATTCACCGAAGTCAATACAAATGTATAAAAGACACATTATATAAACTTATTGGAGTAGTCATAACAGAACCTACAAGCTACAGCAATAAAAATACAAAATATATATATTAGAAGTCGATAAACAATAAAAGTTACAAAAATACAAACATAAAATAAGCATATATTGAAAAGAAGTACCGTCTGTTCATAAATAAAGGAACAATTGTATTATTATATTTGCCCTCGCTGCTGCATCCCGTGTGTTAGTTTTTGACACCAATATATTTGTATCATCAACATACATGAATATTTTTTTGCATTACGGCAGGAGTGAGCCATGTCATTCATAAAGATGACAAATAAAACGGGACCTGAGATAGATCCTTGTGGTACACCGATATGAATTGCTCTCGGTTGTGATTCACTTTTATTCATGGCTATACTTGTTTCCTATATTTCAAGTATGAAGCAATTCAATCATTTGCCACATATCTAACTCTAATACGGTACAATTTATCAGGTAAGAGTATATGATCGATTGTTTCGAACGCCCTACTGAGATCAAAGTATAAAGTTATCGGGCGTTCATTCCCATTTAATGCAGCGTAGATATTCGTACACAAGTCTGCAATTGCTGTAGTTGTGGATTTATTACTTTTAAAGCCATTTTGGTAACTTAATAGAAGCTTCTGGCTTTCTAAAAATGATTTCAACTGAATATTAAATGAGGCATCGAAAATTTTTGCGAAATGCGTCTAGAGACATACATTTCGATAGTTTGTTATGTCCTTCCTGCATCCTTACGATTTGATCTCTACAAACGTTACTCAAAGAAATAAATCATATATTTTTCAAATAAAGATTGTGTAGATGAAACAGTGAGGTGTAGTTTTTGAAATTATTATGGAACTACATCAATTAACGGCCGAATCAATCAGAAAAATAAAGCACTAGTCCAAAATCACAAGTATTACACTCGACATGGTGAAAAACTCACTTACCCAGTTATCGTGAAAAAAACAATACCACAAAGAGCATACTTTTCTGTATAAATCTCTGTATAAATTCTCTCCATTACAATATATCATGTTTCCATACCAGATTGTGGAAGGTAATAATTTAGAAACTTCATATTAACCCTCCTCAGATGCCTCCTGTTCAATATCTAAATCATCAACATCAAAATTGTCATATCAAATGTGAAACTATATTGAAACTTCGGGGGAATCACATCAGTAAATTTCCATCAAATTATAATGATCTCATTTATTTGGGCCTTATACTCTAGTTCTTATCGATTGAAATCTTCTATTAACTTTTTCTTCAAATTCTTTGAAGGATGAAAGTAATCCAATATCCCATAATTTCAGATCGATTACATTTCATCCACTTCGGTCCTCCTGGAGAACTGGAATATGGCCAAATCTATACTAAATCAAGAAATCTTTATCTCCTCATATCTTTTTTGAAAAAAAAACACTGATGTGCTCAGTTACATTCAATGATGATTAATGGTTCTTGGACATCAGACTGACATCTTTCGGTGTCTATCAGAAATGTCTAGTTTGTAAATGAGGGTCTCTTTCTGGTATACTTTTCGATCAATAAAGTAGTCCGGTACCAAATGGACATTGCTGAAATTCTTGGACTAAGGTAAAAAAGAAAAGCATTTTAAAAGAAACCAATCAGTACTATGATATTTGCTCTCTTTAGTCAATCGTAGGGTAGTAATGATTACACACAATGATCACACATCCAGAATGGATCATCGAGAACAAACAAAGCCATTTCCGAATACTATGAGATTTTTCAGGGTTCTATGTTTGTTGAATTGGTCAAACTATGTGGTTGCAATAAGTTCCCTATCTTCAAACACTCTACTTTTATGGGTATGCTCAAGCAAAATAATTCATTCTGGTCGTCTCCAATGGATCGTTGATGTTGATACAAATCATACTTACAGTAACAATGAACTTAGCCAACTGCGGCCATTTTTGCTCGATTTCTCCAGCTTCCATACTGGTTGGGCTGAGGCCTTTGAAATAGAAATATTGTACGACATAACGATGACCAATTGTCTCCATTCTCACATACTCACCGAACACGTTCGCTATTGACAGCTGCTAAACAAATACTGAACAACGCAGCGTCTTCAAACTTGAAACATATACTTTAAAGATTGTTTACTTTGTAATACAGTGATATTTCTCAAACAACTACTGATATCTCTAAGCCAAGGCGGTTACTACTGGGAACACCCTGGTACCTAGAGAAGGCAATGGTAGAAAGATTCAAATTGTATGGCCATTACGAACATTTCAACCGTTTTTCTTTTCCAGGTTGTTCGATACCCACACATCCACGCTCACACCCTCCGTAGACCCCCTCAGGTGATGGAGACCGACCTCCCAAGAAGTTTAAGTAGTGCTTCCAATACACACTATTACTATGGATGACCCGAATGCCCGGGTCGCGAGGGGCCGACTCTTCCACAGTCGCCCACCAGCTCTGCGTGCCCGGGCCAGCGAACCTACTGCTTCTAGTACTGCGGAGTGCCATGAAGACATTGAGTGCACGCTATTGAAGTGAACCAGACCAAAGATATATTCACCTCCAGATTCTTGTCAAAGACTATCAAAATGTTGACATCAATTATCGGAAAACAAACCTACGAAGTTTTGGAAAACGTTTAATTGTTTGGGATGAATTTGACTATTGATGTTCCTAGGTTTAGTAGCCGCGGCCCGCAGGTTTTTGAGCCTGACTACATCAGACGATGAGATGTGGCAACGATCGAAGTGATCTACTTTGCCTCATATGCTCGCATCCTCAATGGGACTGAATGTCGGATTTCCGTATGTTTTTGTTCCTGCTCGGTCCAACTATTCTTGATTTACTGATTTGTGTGTTTTGAAGTATCGATACCCATGTGTCATTTATATTCAAACTCTTTTTCTAACGGTTGAAATCATCTAACGGGTTTTGCTGTGGTCTTCTTTGGTTATAATCTTTGGAGTGGTTGAAGTACTTTCCTTGACGTGTCAACTGAAACTGAAGCTCTGTGAAAAGTCATCCTCAGTTCAATCAGGTTGGAGCCTAGCTCCCTTACCCTTTCAGAAGGACAAATGGGTTCATGACTAAGAGGTGGTGGAATCTGGCGGGTTTACGCATACTTTGGGTGACTTGCCCCGGAAAGAGCAAATGATCTGTTACACACCAGTTTTGAAAGCCTACACACCATGATGGGGTATGGCATGGTAAGGGGTGGTTCCGATTTGACTTTTTGGACAATCTGGATAGAACTAGTATTGAAAGTTTGGAAATAGGCGTTTTTAAGATTGCTTCATTCATTCACAGTAATGTCTATTATTTCATATAGATTGAGAGAAAATTACATATATGTTTTCAATTAAATTTCATACGCTTTGTAGATAAAAGAGCAACTTTCTTGGTGAATATCAGGAGGATTCACTTTGTCAGTGATAAATGGAACTATTCTTGAAATTTTCCATATATTTTCAAGCATTCGAAGTTTTTACCACACTATTCATATTCTATATCTATTCAGTCTATATTCAGCCGTTGATCTACATTATTACTCACGAAACAGTATCGAAATCATGAAATTTTGGGCAACTCTCAACTGACGTCATGTTTCAATAACATATGTTTCGTTCTATTCTTCTTCTGGAATATATGCAGAACTAGTTGAATTTTATTTCAATTACTGGTACAATTCTCAAACAAGAGTAAATATCAGATGAAAACATATGTCGAAATGTTGAATTATCGTCAAATTTATCACTATATATACACATTACTTTTGGCAAATGCCTGTGTCTATTCAAAAGGTACTGGAACTTACTGTAACACATTGGGCTAAATACTGCTTCGGAATATCATTTAAATAACACTTCAACTACTTGCAATATCTACTCTGGAGAAATGCGCCTTCACGCATATTCACTCATTCTTAGGTTAGTTCTTCTTCTCTTAGTCTCAATTGGCCTTTAGCCAGGTCTTATGAGTTGAGTAGACGTCACTGACACCACTGAAGTTTTTTGGGTGTTACTTTTCAGAAGAAAATACAATAACTAGCTGAAACTTCTTAGGTTTGTCCTTACTGATTGATTATTGAATGAAAAACTTAGACTGACTATTGTGCTGATGCGAAAATGATAAACTTTGTCGACACAGTGAATCTTTGAATCAAATTGTTTTAGTGAAGTCTTGTATTTAGAAACAAAGCATTAAATCAAATGACATTCGTTCAAAATGTTTCTACTGAGAAATTATTTCAACTTTATTTTTATTGAAATGTAAATAGTGTTACATTCATTGTTCAATGTTGTTGGATTTTTACACAAATAGTACCAAAAGTTTCATGGAAGTAGCGTATCACACTGGTACTTCAAAATTTGTCAATGGTGCCTGAGGAGGATCCTGGAAAACTATGTCTCGTGAATCGAAATGAACAATTCCTCATAAACTGGGAGTCTTCACAATTTCGAATTGGATGGGAAAATATTAATTTTTTTGATGAGACAATAATATCCAAGAAATCCAACTTTAAGCAAATATTGGTAAACTGTTCGAAACAAGTGTTTCTTTTCATTCAATAGTACCTATCGAAAAACTTTGTATAAAATTGTATCGTATATAGACGTGACTGTTATACTTTTACTGAGTACTTCTGGTACGTATGTGATAAAACTTATTCTTAGTCCTGTACAAGAAATATATTTTCATCATCAATTTTCTCAAGTCAGCCCTGATTTTTGTATGAACTCCTTATTATGAAACATCAAAATTTCTGAATGTGCTGCAATTTACTCATCACAGTCCCATTGAAAGAAGAGAACGACATTTCGGTGATAGATATTGATGAATCTCAGGAAATTCACCAGATAATAATGTCATTTTCTCTGTGTGATCTCAGTCAGTTTCCAAGAGGAGTCGCAGAGGAGAAAAAATATGTAATGAGCAGTTGAGTTGGAAATTATTCAAATCAAGTATTTTCAGAATACTCTCGATTGCCCAATTAGCGTTGGTAGACTGCTTCAATTTTTGCCAGAAGTACTGATATAAAATGTATTGTAAATTTATCGAAACTTGGAAGAATTCAGACAAATATGTTAAAGTTCAAAATCAAATCAATCAGAAGTTTGTCAGTGTATGCTCAAATTGAAAATCAACATTAGCAATGCATTTTTTATATGAAAACGAGTAAAAATGGATTTGAAACCTACAAAAAGGAATGGAAACTATTGAAATTCATCCATGTCTGTCTAAATAATATGTATTTTATATTTCATTTGCATTTCAACTGTTTTTCTATTCGTTATTGTATATTTCAATACAAAAACCTATTTCAGGGCGAAACACACAAGTTTAAGAAACTTTTACAGTAAATCCTACTTCAATACTGTTGTCGCTAATTTCCACCAATCACTGCATTCAGAAAATTCACTTGGTTGTATTTTAATTTGAAAAAATATTGTTCATAATATGTATATTGTTGTATAGGATGTTTTGAAATGAAATTATAAAAAGTATGTTACATATTCTTATATTTTTTATCTTTGTTAGCAGCATCATAGTCATCGTCTGAAGTTAAATAATTTATCTAAATTTGTATAATTACTGAGATTGTACACAACATAGTTATCAAAATATGTGTAAAACATTTTGTGTTATTTATATAAAAAATATGTGTTTGTATAATTAAAAAACCTAACCAAAAGTTTGTATTCTTTAAACCACATGTAAACTCAATGTTAAAATTATCAGAAACAAAGTTGTCAAGGAGTTGGATGCAGCACTTGGAGTACAGTACCCATCCTTCAGGACATTTTTCGTTGCACACTGACATTTGCTGTTTCTGCATTGGAAAGACCGATTCAGAACCAAAGTACAATCAGTTTCCTTCATGCATGGATCTCCATATCCTGAAAAAAGTTACACATTAGATTACATACAGGGCTTTTCATGATGAGCGTTAATTAGCTGTTTCTGACAAACTATTCAACGGATCAACCTGAAAATTCCACAGTATGCAAAGTCAATATGACCTACACGCCTAAAATATTTCAGACGAAACGGCGTTGTCGCTTCTACTATAAAGTAGCGGCTTCTTTGATTTTTCAAATGGAACACCCCGTATATAATANTATTATTATTATTCTTATTATTATGAGTACTATCGACTATGCCCTCGACAGAAGAAAAGTAGATCTGCAAGCTTATACAGATCTAGTATCTTGGCAGGTAGGGAAGGGTAACTTGTAATATACTCCAAAGGCCGTTGGACGTTGTTCACCGTTGGGACCTGAGAGAGCAGTTGTCAGTCAACCCCACCAAAACTGTGATAATCCTTTTCACCAGCCACTTTCCCTCAATGTGAGGTCATTCCATTTGGAACGGAGGTGAAATATCTTGGCATTCAGCGGCGGCTCGTCAGAGGAGGCAAGGGAGGCTTAGCCTCCCCATAAAATTTGAGGCTATTCATCGCAATAAATCGGAAGATATTAACAAACAATTATGATTATTTTTTTGCCTGGGTATCATTACTTTACCATCAATTTTCAATATAAATACATAATATGCCCGAAAAAACACTTTCGCTCAGTATGTAGTACGTACCACACTGTATCCTGTATCAACAAACCTCAAACGCACCGCCCATGAACGAATAACGAATAAACCATCAACCCGAAATAATGAATGCCATACGTTGCAAGGGAGCCAAGCCTCCGACCGTTTTAAAAAACACAAACTTCGCGAAGCTGATCCAACCAGCGACATACGTCCCGATTTGTACTTTTAGTTGCAGAAATTATAGCGTTAGAGGAGGCCAGCCTCCAGTTGGTCTCCGTTAGTGTACGACTGCGTTTATTTTTTATTTAATTATTCGGGCGGGATGCTGTGACGGACCGGGACAGAAAAATATATCGGTAAATCTTTTTAGTGTTTCTTGATAATATTTGTTACTTGTGTATAAAACAGACAGTATTGTATTATAGCAGTGCTTTTTGGTAATTTTTTAAATGTGTTTTTAAAGTGTTTTCTATCAATTTCAATTACATTATTAATTACAATTACATTATTAATATCATGTTGGTAAATATAACTACAAGATTATATTGGACATTCTCAGCTTGAATGCTCCAGCTCATAGAATTTTGAGGCTAGCAAACACTCACAAAGTGGTTCATTTTGGTTTGTTTCCGAGTTTTGCAGTGGTCTTCTTTGGTTATAATCACCAAACGTTTCAACTGCAACAGCGGCAGTCATCTTCAGTGGCGTGGCTGAAGTACTCTTCTTGACGTATCAACTGAAACTATTCAGTTTCAGTTGATACGATTATAACCAAAGAAAACCACGGCAAAACACGAAAACCAACCAAAAGATTGACGCCAGCCGTGAAAGCCTACATTCCAATACTCAAAATGTGAATTTTGAACGTTTCAATTTTTCTTTGGAACACTTTGAAGAGACTATATAACGATTGTGATTGATTGGCTAAGGTTTGCCTTTATTTTTTTCTATAGTTTTTTCTTACATCTGATACTCACAGTACATATGTATGAATGTGTTGATTTTTTGTGAAAATGAGCAATGCCTTGAATAGATAAATACATAAAAATCAAAAGAAGCCTCAAAATATGTATTTTTCTCACCTCTTAAGCACTTGTCTTTGGTTCCAATATAACTAGGGATACATAAGCAAACACCTCCTCTACATTTTGAATTCTCTATATGTGAACAACCCGTAATGCCACATGAACCACCAATATCTGAGAACAAAAGTATATTGAATTATGGAGCAGTGACACAGTGATACTCGTGTAACAACAAGAACTTCTGAGAAGAACATTATTGAAATTATTCATATTTTTCATTTCGACCAATTAGTGTACGACCAAGCTGAATAGTTTCATTGTCTGAAGACGTGTTACCAAGTTTCACCTTTTCTTTTATCACCTAGGTGAGAATATTCTCAGTAGTAGAGATGCTTTTTATTTTGGGGTCACACAGTTCCAATTGGAGTTCACCTCCTCATTGGAGAAACTTGAGAATCAATTCGGAACTACTCGAGTATTATGGCTACTCATCCTCACTTTACTGCCAGGATCTTGATTCGTTGCACCATGAAGTAACCAAATTCTCCGCAATAAAAATATAATCTTCATTCACTATCATATCATTTAATCATCTAAGGGAACAATTGGTTCAGGCTAATCTTCACTCACCTATACAGTAGGTTCATATATATATAATTTATCACGCAGTTTTGTCTCTTTTTATGGGACTTCAGAATGAACTGCCTAATTTTCATGCTCTTCTAATTTTTACTCTCTAGTATCATTATTCGTTCCTAAATGTAGTCGATTTTATAGTATCAGAACCCATGATTCGATTGATGAAGTTCCAGAATTTTCTTACGAGCTGTATCAGTATAACTGATGGGAAACAGGGTATTTAACTCCGATTGGTCTTTTATGGCGGGTATTTGAAGAAACATACCTTCAGAATCATTTACACAGAGTATTTATATAAATATACTGCCAAGATTTGCAAAGGTTCATGAATTATAGAACTATTCAGAAGGAACTCATGTCCAAAGGTTCAGGTTGAAAATATTGTTGTCATTACCTGGTAAGCAAGCTTCCCCACGTTTCGAAAAATTTTCAACGCATTCACATTTCTCGTCCGTGCACCGTTCATGAAGCGAACAATCTGAATCCCTCAAACAGAAACCTAAAAATCAAAATTTATGTCAAAACCAGCTGTTCATATTATTCGTTAACTATCTATCTGATCGTAAACAAAAATTGTTTCTCTACCTTCATCAGAAGGGATATCAGTGAAATTTGAGCAGTAAAATGAAGTTTCGTTCAGATTTGCAAAGCTGCTGCATTGACATGTGTTAGTTGTAGAATTACAAATGGAGTATTCGCCCATAGCATTGCACCAGTCACTGGTCAAACATGAACGTGTTTGCTGTAGCGTTGCTGAAAAAAATTAATAAAAAGATATATACATATTGAAGTCAGTGATCATGGTTCGAATTGAAAAATATCCTAAGAATCACAAGACATATTCACAAATCACACAGAATCAATAACTCTGAGCTACGAATTACCTACGTTTTCTTTCCCAACTGATATGTATCATACAATAACTATAATTATTCCCTAATATTTTTCACCAGCACTTATTTTTTGCAGGTCGTTTGGAAAAAAACTCATCTGAACTTGGTGTGATTTTTTTGAGACCACCAAAATATGTTCTTTTTCCTGCTTCTTTATGATACTGTTGTGAATCATGCCCTTAAGAAAATAACGCCGGCCGCCACTGGTAGCCATATGCCAATGGTGACGTAGCTACGAGCGCGCGAATGTACGATGTTCGCTGCCGCTTTAGAGATAATAATGCTACGGATTTCGACGGAATTTCGAAGAAATTTTTTAGCGCGTTCGATTGCGATATATAAAGGCTATCCACGAGTATACAGGGTGTGAATAAATAAGTGTGAAACATTTAAGGAGGTGATTCCTCATCGAAAAAAAGATAGGATCTTTCATATAAAGAAACTTCATTGGAGCATCCCTTGTTAAGATACTTACAGTGTATGTTGTATTTAAAGTGAAATAAAGTTATGTTTGATTATTCAGTGTAGTCAACGTAACAATACCTTTATAAATATAACTGAGGTTCAATATTCGTCACGCTTTTCTATGATCACATAGTTATTACTTATCTCAAAAAATGTCAACCTTGTAAAATTCCCCGAGCAATAGGAAATGTTGAAAAGACCAATAATATTATCTCCATATCATATCATTCATCAAATCGAATTTCATCAGGTTCTATTCCATTATCTTCCAGAAATGAAATGAGCGAAAGGAAAATTTTGCCGAAAATTTGGAAACAAAATGAAAATTGATGAACAAATGAATATCCTTTGAATATACTCACTTTTGATGCAGTTTCTGTTTGATCTATCGTTGAACCAATACGATTTACAATAGCAAGCAGAATCTACTAATTTTCCTGGTTTGATAATACAGTCACTTCCGTTTTTCAGAGAAGTATCGATCATGCCGAGTTCCGGATGACACTTTCCATCTTTAATGAAATAACCAGGTGAACAGACACAAGTTCCTTTAAAGCACATACTGTTCGCATAAGAGCAAGAGTCAGTACTATCGCAGGCTCCCAAACCTGAAACATATTATAGTACAATTTCATAATAGTAGGCACTAAATTCACAGAATAATTATTGCAATGGAAAGAAAACATTATTGTCAAGGTTGTGATTCTATATATTTTACCATAATTTTTCCTAATCTGTTTAGTATAATTTCCGTACGCCACTGCAAGAGACAGATTGAGGCAAAAACGCCAGTCATTTCTGAGATTTCAGTGCCTACTGTTTTGGAATTATAGTATATAAGTAAAATACGTAGTAAACATTCAGAATGCTACAGTTTATCCAGTAAAATAGTCTTAGACTATTGTGATCTTGACCTGAAACAAATATTATAATAATCCATGGTAATACGATTAGTGAGAAAGAGAAAAAAAAAATAAAATAAACATTTTTTTTTCTGGCTGAATACTAATTTTTTGTCCGTTCCACAATATTTCTTCATCAGTGCCATGTGTTCGTGGGGTTAGGTGAGGTAGTGAGTGGTTTTGCAAACCGATTTTTGAAAACTTTTTCTAGAGATCAGTTAACCTAACATCAAACTGATATTTTTACACTCGACGCGCGTTTCGCTAACAAGGTTAGCATCTTCAGGAGAAGCAAATTGATACTGAATCTAAAGACAATGGTTAGCTGTTTATATACCTAAAGTTTTTTGGTCCGATGTGGACTTTGTTTGTCAACAATAGATTAAAAAGCGGACAAATTATTTTGCAGGTAGTGGTTCCACTAGTTAATTACCGAAAAATCAATTAGGATAATCATCATTTAACAAACAAAGTCCACATCGGACCAAAAAACTTTAGCTATATAAACAGCTAAACCTTGTCTTTAGATTCAGTATCAACTTGCTTCTCCTGAAGATGCTAACGTAGTTAGCGAAACGCGCGTCGAGTGCAAAAATATCAGTATGGTGTGGGGGGAAAATCTTAGTGTTTTTGGGTACTTTCATCAATATATCTTTCTGGAGACCTTTTGAAACAAATGATAACATTACGTGTGAGGAATCTGTGTCAATCGACAGAAATCCGGAATTTGAAAATAAGGACTTACATGTTCAAGTTCAGCGAGTAATTTTAAATATTCATGAATGCTTGAAGAAGGAAACATGTCACACTTCACAGAATGCTATTGTGAATAGAATATGCGAGTTAACGAAACTATCTTGTTCGACAGTTCTTCGAGTCATTAAAGGAAAACAGGAATGAAAAATTCGCAAACGTTGATGGTGCTACAAAAGATGTGAATCAGCGAACAATTTAAGGTATATACCAAAAAAATGAAGTACCAACCTTGGAAATGATTTGGTATAAATTACTCGACTATCCCGATTACAATTACAAATCTTTAGGAACTCTACGAGGTGTCTTATTGTTTTGTGGTTTCAAATATAAAAAAATGAACAATCGGATGGTCATAATGGAATCGACACGCATTGATCAACTCCGACAAGAATATTTGAGGCGCATGAAAAGCTACCGAGAATCCAGCAGACATATAATCTACCTCGACGAAACTTGGTTTGATGTTGTCAAATATGGCTGGGTAGAAGAAACCAAGTATTGTGCTTTGAACACACCTTCTTCAAGGGGATAACGTGTTATAATTTTGCATGCCGGGAATGAAAGTGGTTTCGTACCTAACGCTTTGCTTCTGTCGGCCAAAAATATAAAAGACTCGTCTGCTGATTACCACGAAGATATGACTGCGGCTTTATTCGAAACCTGGTTCAGTGAGCAGCTGCTCCCAAATATTCCTCCAAACTCGGTTATTGTTATGGATAACGCTTCGTATCATTCTCGGTTATTGACCGGTTATTTGTATTGAATACCAAACAATAACACAAAAAAAGCAGATATTGTTGATTTCATGCGAAATCAGGACATGGAAATACCCGAAAAGATTCCAACGAAAAAGGTATTAGTGGCGACCATGAAACAACGTAATTTCAAGAAAGAGTATATCATTGATTCGATGTGTGAAACACGTGGTCATATTCTCTTACGTTTGCCTCCATACTATTGTGTGTTCAATCCAATTGAAATGGTTTGGGCCACAATGAAAGAAAGCTTGCGGAAATGTAATCAGTCACCGACTTTGAATGCTGTGGTGCTTGACAATATAAGGCGAGTGATGAATGAAGTAGGTACTAGTGATGTGTGGAAGAACTGTGTGGCCCACGTTATGAAAGAAGAGAACAAATATTATATGCAAAGTTCCATAAATTCGATCGTTATTCAACCCGATGATGACTCCACCTCATCCGAATATAGCGTAGAAGAATTTTGATTTTTCTAGCAACCGGCCATAGTTGATGCGACAAAAGGATACTTTGAAGATTTCTGAATTTCTCGTTCTCCTTGGATTTACATTTAAAGTTATAAGTTCCTTATACCGATTTGGTTAAAGTTTGCTACAGTTATTTGAAGTAATGAGGTGCTTATTTAACCTAACTAGATATACCTTTTCTCATGTATCATTTATGAAAACAATAGCAATATCATCTGCATATGATACTATGTGGCCCTGAAAGTTATTCAGATCAGCAATGTCGTTAATATACACAAGAAACAATATTGGACCCAGCACTGAACCCTGTGGAAAACTGGTTGTAATTTTTAGGATATCACTGAGACCCTCTTCAATTTCCACTCGCTGTGTCCTGTTTTGTAAATAATTTTTTAATAGAGTCAGTGCTGTGCCACGTATGCCAACTTTATTGAGACGTTCAAGTAAAATATTGTGCGACACAGTGTCGAAAACTTTGTCCAAGTCAAGAAATACCGCAGGACATTTTCTTGACCTATCCCAGCCTCCGATAATATTTTTAGTTGGTTAGTTTAGGTTAGGTTAGGTTTTAAATCGACTCCGTGTAAGGATATGTTCATAAAAACTTTTATTCTTAAAACGACCTAACAAGTCACCCTCTGAAATTTCGTACCGTAGTTAGAAAACACCCTGTATAACTCGTCAATCCATTACTGTTTCGTAACATACTAAAGACCACATATTTCTAATTCGCCAGTACTCATATGCCAAATTTCTCTGATCTTTCTTCTACTGCTGACATGGTGAACCAACTGACAATATTCAATTCATGCCTCAAAAATGAGATAGCCGAGAAGAAATAAAAAAATTTGCTGACATGAGAGACATGTCCATAACATGGACAATTATAAGGATCAGTTCTTGGTCCAGTCCTCGGTATTATTTATGTGAACGATCTAATGTCTAATCTACCTTATGTCAGTTCACCTCAACGTTTATGCTGATGATGCACCTATAATTTAGTGCGATCAGAATTGAAAGTGTTTAACATTGGGCTGAAGTTAACTATCTCATCCTTCAACGTCTTATTTTCCACTTTTATCATTTCCGACTCGTCAAGAATACAGAAAAAAACAAGCAAGTTACCAGGGGTTTATCTAGACAGTGATTTGAATTTTCCACGTCATGTATAGCATTTCTCAAAAATGTTGAATATGATGTGAAAAAATTTTCAAAAAAGGTAGATGTGATAGAGATAACTGAAGACTATTTGAAAGTGTGGTAATTTACCAGTCAAGAAATGAAAACTGAAAAAATGATGATTCACGGATTTTGTGAAAAATCATTTTCCCTTATATTAATTTTCATATCTCTCCGATTGATGAGACCAGAGACAGGTGTTCAATTAGGTGCTCGTAACAAAGCAAGTGTCTAATCATCACCGAATGCTCTCACTCTGCCAATGGATCAATTATCGACTACTATTCATCTTTTATCTCGCAAAGATAAGACCGTTTGAGTCGTCTCGAGGTCCAAATTTCAACCACGCTGCATTATATCAACTCACCTGGTAAACAATTTCCCTCGAACAAATATGTGTTACTTTTACACCTGCAAATCCCCAATGATACATCACATTCTGAGTTAGCCATATCTTTACAATCGTCATCAAATGAGCATTTTAAATCACCTGAAAGATAACATCAAAAATAAATCAAGTTATTTCAAATAATGATTGACTCACTAGCATGCCAGGGTGAATGTTTCTCATTTTTTCGCAAAAACTTGAGTATATTTACAGTCTTCTGTGGCTTTTGCTTACAGCTTCCAAGATCACAATGGCGATTTTGAGACGGATTTCGTGAGCAGTCAAAATCTAGAGCGCAATCTGAAAACAAATGAGGCTTCATAGAAACTAAAAGTACATTGATGGACATGATTGTGAACATGTGTCTAAATTTCAACATGTAATGATTACCTGAGTAGAGGAAATTTTGAATTGACAACAATGTAACATGCTGCCACAACAACTTGCTTTCATTCTGCAGTATTTGATACAACTTATCTATGCATATATGTCTGTTATGAATTCGTATATAATATTGAAATCTAAGAAAACCCTATAACGTTTCAATATTAATTTACCGCTCCAAGGTGGTCAGACTAAGCGAGCTGATGAAACTCGTTCTAAAGAACACACAGCACCAGACTAATCTGGTGTCGCTCAACATGTTTTGGAGAACAGCCATTGTCGAACAGCCGGTGTGATAGGTCCCATTCCAAGCAGCTCATTGTTTATCTTCACATAAATCGATTTCAGTTCTATTTTCTATAATGTATCGTATTTTCCAGGGATTAACATTTTTGAGTTGTACTACAGTGAATGAGTTGATTTTGTTTCAACTTTGTTTTCATTCACTAGATGAAATTTTCATAGAAATCTGATGAATTCTCCAGTTCACCTTCAACTAATATTATGAAAAAAACTAATAGATGAAATATAAAATTGTGTATAATAAGTTCTCCATAGATTGATTTTTCATCATTACATTTCAATTAGAATAGAATAGAATAGAATAGAATAGAATAGAAGTTCATTTAACCACATTACACTTTACATGTTTGCAGCAAGTCATGACAAATTTGTTATATATGCTCAAGCACAGCAAAAGTAATTTCAGATCGGATGAGTATAAAATATAATTTAAGATAAAAAGTAGAGCAACATAAAGATTAACATTAAAAACATGAAAGAACAACATGATATAGCATATTTACGGTAGTCAGATGAGTATGTTGCTTGTATGTTGAGACTTAGGAGCGATTTTTAAAATACCCCAGGTAATCAGAGACAGAGTAAAAGCAGCCCTCCAATAGTAGTTGTTTGATGGATTGTTTGAATTTATTCATACTAAGATCTTTCAGCTTGACTGGTAAACAGTTATATTAGTTGTAATCCAAAGAATTTTTTTGTGATTTAGCTAGGCGATATCGATTTGTACAAATCTTTTCAGAGTTTCTCGTACGGTACTGATGAATATTAGAACGTTTAGGTAAGATACTCGCAATTCTGTGTATTTCTAGCAAAACATGAAAAATGAATAACGTCGGTACAGGCATGATACCTAGTTTTTTGAAAATTGGCTGACACGGTTCCCGAAAACTTACATCTGCCAATATTCGAATGGCTCGTTTTTGTAACCTAAAGATATTGAGAGAACCAGGTGAGTTTTCCCAAAGAACAATCCCATAACCAATGTGAGAATGAATAAGCGAATAATAAGTAATTTTTAATATATCGAAGCTGGTAATATTTTGAAGCTGTCTTAGAACATAAATAGTGCTGGATAACTTGCTCCTAAGCTGATTTGTATGTTGATGCCAAGATAAGGTATTGTCAAGTGTTATGCCAAACAATTTCACAATATCATTTGAGGGGCCTACAGTGGATAATTGAAGACGTTGTGTCTTATTGGTATTTAATTTCAAATTATTTGTTAGAAACCAAGTATTAGCTTTATTTTCAATGTCTCCCGATATTTCTGTTACTTTGTTGATACTATTTCCACTATAGATTAAGGTGGTATCATCAGCATAGAGAATTGTTTCATTTGGCGCCATAAAATTGCAAAAATCATTTACATAGATGATAAAAAGTAAAGGCCCCAGGATAGATCTTTGAGGGACTCCATGTACTACAGGTTTGAAGCTAGAAATGGTATTATTGCAAGAAACAGCTCGATATCTATTTGTGAGGTACGATTTGATAAGTGTTAACGAAACTCCTCTCACCCCATAATATTGTAATTTTTCAAGTAACAGCGTGTGTGAAACGCAGTCAAAAGCCTTAGATAAATCAAAAAGTGTAATGGCAGTATGCAGTCCATCTTCAAGGCCATCAATGACATATCCAACTATATCTAAAACAGCTTGCGAGGTGGATCTTTCTTTGCGAAAACCATATTGGGAGTTAACTTTCTACAATATCCACAAAATAGTCATTGAAATTTTCCGGTGAGATATGGGAAGCAATTTGACAAGTTCTTTTATTTCGTTCGAAATTGATGATCTTCCAGCAAGCATTAGATTTATTTTTTGCTGAACGAATGTAATCATCATACGCTCGTTTTTCAGCAAGTTTTATTTGCTGTTTATAGTCCCTCTTCAGGTACTTATATAGCTCAACATCAGAATAATCTTTGCTCACGTCAGCTATAAGTTTGACGTTAGTCAAACTTATGAAAGTTTTCAGGAAATCGTCGAACCAGATTACTGGAGATTTATTGGTAATTGGTGAGGATTTCCTTAGAGGCATGTGTTTGTGAACCAAAGAAGTGTACCAGTTGGACAAATATGAAGCAAGCATGTTAACATCGGTAGAGCTTTTAAAAATATCCCAGCTCGTTTCCGAAAGGGAGGATTTTAGTTAGTTGGTTATTCTCCTGGAATAATTTGTTGTATTGATTAGGTTTTTCATTTAAAATGATATATTGGGCCTTGTAGTCAGCTATACAGGGTTCAAGGACTCCTGTATGAATATAATCACTCTTCAAATTTGTGAGAACATTGTCGATTTGACTAGAGGATGAGACTGTTATTCTAGTATCTTCATGTATCATAATATTTAATCCAAAAGAACGCATTAGGCAATGGAGCTCATTGAGAACATTTGAATCGGTTTTAAACTCAATGTTGAAATCTCCCAAGATTATTATTTTCGTACCAGCCTTCACCATATCATTTAGGAGATTTTCTAGATTACTGAAAAACAATTATCCAGCAGTGTGGTGATACGATTATTCATTTACCTTCAATTTAGAACCTATAGATCGAATTCAACTCACCTTCATCATTCAACTCAGATTCTGGTCTACAGTCATCCCCTCTGTCATAGTAATTGTAATTACAGACACATATATTGTCTTCGGAACATCTCATCGATAACATATCATAGCCGTTGTAGCACTCCAAATCTGATTTGCATGGTTCCCCTTTATTTACGAAGCGTTGACACTTTCCTTGGATCCATCTATAATTTTTTTCGCAAACACACAGATTTTTATTACATTCTGAATTTGTTCCTATCCAAACGCACTGTTCAGATTCTTGACAGTAGGCCATGTATTCGGTTACATCTGAAAAATAAGAATTATCATCCAGAAATGTTCAAATAAGTTTGGTTCGCCACATAAATCGATACCCACAATTAGATATACAGTGTGTAAAAGCCAAATAGAATAAATTCATTATTTCGGTTGCGGTACATATTTTAACAAAATCCCGAAACATGTCAAATTCAAATTATAATTCAACGGAAAAATGCTACCCCTACCTTCAACCCCCGTCGAATAACAAGTACAAGCCCCAAGTTTCTAAATCGGCAGTATAGGCTTGTGATATATCGTTCGAAAGGTCTCTTCATTCTCTATCGAAAAATGTTATCGCTTTCAAGTTCATTGTCACAATTGAGATAAAATAAATTAAAATCATGCGGTTACCGAAATTCCATAAAATACACTCAAAACTTATTTGCAACATACTCAAAACTTATTTCATGTTGAGGTATTGATAATAAGAAGGTAAGCAAAAACCATGGCAATGTCCTTTTAGATGTTATCCTGTAAAAAACTGTAAATAATTACCGTGGCAACGTTAGTTTAAAACGCCTTGTCAACTTGTTTTTCATGTTATAACATTAGTTGTTAATATTTCAATTTTCAAGTTTAAAGTTCGTTAACTGCAAGTCTGACAAATTGTTAGATTAGGGAAAATGCATAAAATTATTGGTTACGGAGATAACACCCGAACACAACAGGAAGTAGCTCGCCTATTCCATGAGAAATTTCCTAATTTAGCTCCTATATATCAAGGAACAATAAGCGAAATACAGGGTGTTCCTTAAACACATGCCAATATTTAAGGAGGTAATTCTTAGACCCATTTTAAGGAAAAAATGTCCTATGGACGTATGTCCTAAACGCCTTAACTTTTGAGATACAGGGTGGCAAAGTTTTCAAAAATAATCAGTTTTTTAATAATAACTGAGATAATTTTGTAGACATCTTTGGCATATTTGGTACATATGTTCCATGCCTCAAGGCGCATTTTCTGATG